TAAATGGTACAAGTCCCAAAAAATTATAGCATGCCCTCTTTCCCTCGAAAATTCCTCAGCATCACGGGAAAGCTCCAGGAAAGAACAACCTTCCTGTAGCGTAATCCACGAGAAGAAAATCGAAGGGATCTCAAAATTGCAGAAGTCGTCAGCACTTTGTGGAAGTTGTCCCGCTATCGACTTGAAATCTGATACAGATTAACTAAACCGGTTTCACCCTTTGCCAACGTCTAACCACTACAACTTCATCTAGCGGTGGGTTGTCGAGCAGTATAATTAGTTTCAGTGGACACCGACCGGTCTCGTGCTTTTTGTGAAGACCATCGTTAGTCTTAGACTTTTGGACAATGTGGTAATTCTAACGCTTGAAATGGCGTTACCGTTACGTAGCTCTCAAAATAGCATACAATCAACCTGCGTGGTTAGAATCATATGTGTCTACCTGAAGATTCTGCCCTAGATGTTACATTCATTCTGGCTGAGGGGTAGTGTTATTCTTTCTATCAATCCGGCATCCCAACTTTTATCCGGTATGATTATGGCATCCACCCGAGCTGTCTCTAAAATCATATCGGTAGCTTTTTTTTGGTGTTCGGATGTACACAATGGATTTACTGCTAACTTGACTCTTTCAGAATGAGATTCTTCATAATACGGGCCATCCTAGACAAACTAAATGATTGTAATGGTTCAGATAATTAATTGCCTAGACTGCTGCATCAGTTACAGTAGACTGCCAGTGTATTAAGTCGTCCCCACCACGAAATACTAGGAAAAGCTTTAGCTAACAAGGACAGGTATCAAACCAGTGTGATGGTGTAACGGTGATACTGCTGATGGGGGAGGCATGCAAGTAGTGAACTTCGCTTTGCGTCTCTTGAAAAGGGAGATGCGTTGCAGAATTTTTGGAGTCACTTTGTAGCATTTGCTTGAATTTCGGCAACAGTGAATGAATATCCAGGAAAGTTCAGGAAGATGTGTTCAAGAAAAGATGGATATTCCGTTTTTGTAAGTAAGATGCAAATGAGAGTTTTGCTTCCCTGTCCAATATTCTGTAGCTAGTCAGTTGGCATTTTATAATAAATAACTCCACAGCAAAGGCCTTCTTCCTTTTTGTGGTAGCTAAATAGTCGAGAAGAGTCTACAACGTGCTGCATACTGTCTCTTGTACACCAACCTGAAAACCAAGTTACTTTTGCAGAGCTGACAACCGCTAAAGAGAGCCCTCAGTGGGAGTACTTAACTACCCCTAAAGGACTAGGCTTGCTGTTTGTTAAAATGATCCTACGACCTGGCATTTCGACTGGAGATATCCTGTATCAGTTGAAATTGAGTGATAAATATGTAGTCAAATACGAGCGTATTTGTCTGTAGGCCTCAGAGGATAGTTTGTCCATCAACTACATAACCACGGCCAACAAAATTCCTGTCTGAATAAGGTGTGGCTCAGTCACACAATCAAGGATTTAATCAAGGATTTCATCCTATTCAATGCAGTTACTTACACCCTCGACTACAGACTCAATAATAAACTAACATGATCCAGCTTTGAATGCAGAGCCTGGCCATACTAACTAATTATTTGTTATTCGTGAATGAAGGACTATCGTCCTACATATGGCCATGCTCGTCTTATGGTAATATCTGCTGGTTCCATCGTTACGGTAAACCCGCAAAAGCTTGAAAAAATATGGACGTGGCACCTGCTGAACAGATCAATGCAACTGATGAGCAGGATTGCTTCCTCAGTCTCAACTTAAGTTTTCAGGGTATCCCACATTGTTTTAGTTTGACCAGATTTTCAGGTTACAATGTGTGTTTTTAGGCCAGTTTTGACTATTTATAGCTAACCTCGACCAATATTGTGTGGTAAGCCGTGCGAAACCTCGTTGAACTTTGAATAGACTTAGAATAGACATTAACTATTGATCCATTAGGCAGAAGAACGACGAATTAATGAGAACGGTAGTGAACGTGTGAGATGTGCGACGGTATCCGCGGTAGCTATGTCGATAGGGCATTCGCCAGCTAATCGGGCTACCAGGGGTTCATGTCTGATCAGAGGGCTTTCCTTGTAACTGCATTTTGCGTGCTTGGGTCCGCACTCAAGATAGACGGTTGATCTGGTGGCCGCCGATTTGTAAGCCAAGCTTCACAGTTAGATTGTAGATGTTTCGTCATCAACAGAGGTGACAACTTCCGTGCGTAGTCGGATGGGTAATCCCCCTTAACTGCTTGAATTTATATAGTTGTCAAAGTCTAGCTGATATCTATATCTGTAAATGGTTGGAGGGGAAACGCCTTCCCTAAATCCCACTGGTTCGTTTCGGATTGTTTTTCTTCGCACTGATGATGTCACATCGAATAGTTACGAAACGTTTGCCTGCTGAATTTTAAGCTCCGCGAACAAATCAGCGGTCACCTGATCAACCGCGAATGAAAGCAACAGGGCTACAAACATTCCGGTAAATTTCTCATATCCCCGATGTGAATGGAATACACAGAGCAGAGCAACCGCCTCTATGAGTGACCACCTCTAAGATAGACCATTTCCCAGAAGTCATGGTCCTGTGAAGCCACCGCTCAGAAGGTAAGGTTTGTGCCATGTCATTTTTCCCAAACTGTTTTTTCACGAATTCACCACACATTACTTTTGGTGATCAGCTAACAAACGTGTTCTGTAGGATTTTTGTTTTCTTGCGTGTGGAAAGTTTGACCGATTCACGAATGATGAAAAGCACGGTAGTCACAATACGAAACTGACTGAAATTCTGACCCAGATGTCTTGGTACCAAACTCAGGCCTTCACTTTCCTAAAACCGGTTAGTCAATGAAGGGATTTCCAACTCATCTGTGAGGCCATAAATAATCGAGCAATCGCGTAAAAGCACCCAATTTCGGTCCTATCCTTATTTTGGTTGTTCAGTTAGCTTCTTGAAAAATAAGAGGACATATGCAGCGACTCAGGTGCTGACACTCTCAAAGTGGACTCAAAGGTCCCTCAACTGTTCAACAGAAAATGATCGGTCTAATTCACGTTGCTTTATTGATTCACTTGTGGCTGCAATGACCGTCTCTAATGAGGTGCGATCGGAGCTGATTAAGTACCATCTCAAAGCATCAACAACCATTGATCTTTGGCCTGAAATGCCCATCTGGTCGAGCACGTAGCAGGCAACTAGGTACTGGATGACTCCGAAAATTGATGCACTATTTTATAACATGTTGCTGTGTTGCAGTTAGTTATCACATCGAACGTAAAAGTCGGTTCACACAAAGCTTCGGCTAATTGGTCTTGCGGATAAAACGAGAGTCGAGATGACCCAAATCGAGATTCACATTACGCCTGTTTTCAGCACAAAAACGTTTGACCGAAATAGTTTGTCTTTTCCGTTGGACTCTTGGTGTAAACATATATTGTCGAAGTGTTTTCATCAACTTTATATCTGAATAGTATGCACCAGGGGAAAACTCTTCGATGCTATTCCGGCTAATCCACGGGCATACCTCTGACCGATTCGGCTGACCAACACCACAAAAGAGGAGTTTATCTCATCCTGTATCAACCAACTCCTGAAACCCAGTGAATATCTCTCAATAATATATGTCACTCACTCAATCTCGACCACCCACATTCTAGAAAAAACTTGATGCGGTGATACGAACATGATAACAGCCCCTTCTGGTCTACCAGAAACACGTTCTTGGGGCATGGAGATTGACCGTGATGAGGCAGCAGAAGAAATTACTTACTTGTCCAGCCAGAGCAAGACCACTAAAATATGCGTGAATGGGTGTGCGAGCCAGATTGAGAGGTTTGCGCAATCCCATCTGTGACGCATTGACGAAAGCAGTAAACGAGTTCTCCACGACTCGCATGCTTTCGTGGGAGTAGTTTGGTGTACCAAGACGACTTAGCAGGTGGTCCACATAGTTGAGATGCCAATCGATGACATTATCCAGCTCTGGACAGCCACTAGATAGGCTTCCAGACAAGGTAGTTTTCACAACGGTGGAATCCTCTTTAGAGGGAGTTATGGACGAGATAGAACTGGTTTCATTGGATTTCCTTCTGCCGTCCTTCTTTTCGTCTAAGAATGCAAACGACTCCCACAGCTGTGTCAAAGTATCAACCTTTCCAATTTCGCAGCTTTCTGGTGTGGAGATTACGGGGACAGGCTTTGTTCGACTGGCTTGAAATTTGTCCGTCCATCGAAAATCTTTTGACACCTTATCCTTGACTTTTGTGGGCGTTTTTAAAGATGTCTGCTCAATTACGGTTTCGAGATTTCTCAGTTCCGACTTCAACCGCTATGTTGTGAACAAAAAATTGACAGAGAAAAAAAATTAGTTTTCACAAATAGGAAATTTCATTTGAGAGCTGACAATATCTATTGTGCCAAGAGGGTGCACCCTTAGATTGAGGACGTTGTTGACATAACTTCGCTAGGACTGCTGCCTTCAAACGTGCCACGTTGCAGATACTAACAGAGGAAAACTTCCATGACTCTCTGCCAAAAGTCCTGTACTGAAGAAGACCGGAACATGGAATGTGCACATATACATACGTATTGCATAAAGTGACACGGATTTGTTTTTTATGGATAGCATTTTTCTATGCTTTCAACAGTGCACTTCTCAGATTGTCTGTTCAAAGGGAAATAACCATATACATGTTTTGGTCTCCTTGAATAGAGAACATTCCTGGGAAATGAGCTGAGATTTCTTAGTTCGAGGGTGGATTTTCTTAAGCAGAATGGGACATAGAAACAAAAAATAATGCAAATTCCTCAGCTTATTAACGCAGAATCGTACAGAACAGGTTCATGACAAACGATAAAGCTTGATAACATAACCAACCAAATTAGCTGATCATCGACGCATTGAGGAAGAAAAGCTACGGATAGGAGCACCGTCGCGTGTTATGCGGTAGGGAATGTGGATTTTTTGACAACCGTTACGTGCCTTGATTTCTGATACCGTTTCCACTGACCACAACTATTTGTTGATCCGGAGATTTTGGCTTCGAGCTGTTGGCACCTGATCCTGTTGGATCCACCACAGTGATGTTTATGTTGTCGGAGAAAGTGGCATGTAGCAAGCACTAGTAATACATGACCAGTAAGTGGATAGCCTTCGTATCAAACTGAAGCAAACGGGAATCGATAGGTTGTTGGAGCTTCGATTGCATGAACTGAACTCACAGCGAAACTCAGTAATTAATGAGTGACTCATGCAGTGTGAAAGGTGCATTCTCGAGGTATAGTTTTGGTGGTGACACCGGTGAATTCGCGTCCATACACCCAGAAGTAAACTGGACGCTTTTGCAAAAGTGAAAACAGGTGAAAATACGCACGTGCGTTTGTGATGAATATGCTATATTCACACATAGATGTGGGGACATGCGACCAGTTGGCTGTTGCATGCCAGCATAACCAAACTCAGCCGTCTGCACAAGCTCTTCCCATAATGAATGTATGTGCACTAAATTGTTTTAAACTAGGGGAAAAGAACCTTACTTTCATTCAAACGCAATTCTACAGTCCCCGTAAATTGTTTTGTATACCCTGGCAGTGCACCTATAGTTTACTACTAAGCCGAGTTTGTGGATGATAACCGTCATCGTTATACTCGAAGGCTCATAGGGGAAAGTCATACTCTTATTCTAACACCTTAACTCTACCATAATAAATTATTAACATCAAAGCATATGTCCTGATCATAGTTGGTGTGAGCGGCAAGTGGCTCAAAATGAAAGTATTTGTCAACTATGGCTACTAGTCTGCTCATAATGATTTACAGCTGTTCTGTCAGAAGGCCAGTGTAATAAATGTTTATTCCAGATAGGTAGCTGAAAACGATGCGGTCACCTCGAAGGTTACATTACCGAGAATTAACTGTCCGCATAATTCAACTCAGTCATCAATTGGTAACATGTCACCCATGCAATCTGGTTATTTGTCATGTTAGGTTTCCAAGGCAAAATGAGATTTCTCATGAAGTCACGGATGTATCTGTGCGGTAGATGCCATAATTCAACTCAGTCATCAATTGGTAACGTGTCACTCATGCAATCTGGTTATTTGTCATGTTGTTAGGATTTCCAAGGCAAAATGAGATTTCTCATGATGTCACGGATGTATCTGTGCGGTAGATGTTGCGAAGTTGTGTTTCAACTTTGGCCATGTTTGAAACTCAATACATGATCCTGAACTTTATCCGAAAGCAAGTCTGTCCACTCGACAAACAATCAAGTGTTGAAGTTAAATACGCAGCAAGATGGGTTTGAGTTCGTTTCCTCCTGGAACCAAAAAAAGATGAACGGCCAGACACCAAGCTTTAATTGGAGGTGATGTTTTCGGCACTAAGGCAATCTTTGTCATTGAAAGGAGAACCAGGGAATCAACACAAGCTGATCGCTCTGGATAGAGCATGTTGTATAATGTAACGGTGACTGTTGGGTTGATTGAGTCGTGGAGTGAAGCTACAAGTGGCCCGCAAATAAGCTGACCCATCTGGCCTAATTCTAATTGTGCCAACGAACTAGTTTCATGAATGGTGGGTGTAAATTCCAGGAGACTAATTCCTTACCCAAGCCTATCTAGAAACTTATTGCACTGGAACTGAATGGGACTTTGGAAATGGCTGAATAGGGACGTCAAATAACATATCAACTTTCGCATGCTTATGTTGTTGTGCTATTTGTATTTTCAGGTGGTGGTTTAAATCATGAACATTTACTTACTTCTTCCATCGCACGTTGTGAATAGACCTCACTCACAAGCAACCAGAGATCACAGGATTTCGCCGTAAACAGCGAAGCATAGTTTGCTAGGAAGCCCATTAATACATCTCTATGTAATATGGTTAATGTGTTGATGTAATGTGGCTAGAGGACTTCATTTAAGTTTTACGTTTAACTTCTCGTTCGATGTGTTTCTGGTCGTTACTCACAATACCACTGGATGTTAGCCCATATAGATGGGAAGCCGTTATGCGTGTTGGATAAAGTGGAGACACTGCACGCATCCATAACCTCAGTCCAGTTACCCAAATAGCGTGATTAACGCTGTTAGTGGTGACCTTGTGGGTTAGGTATGTATTCTGATCTGTCATTACTGAAGCAGTTTTGCTAACCTGTACCGGAAAGATAGAGACCCGCACGACGACACTAAGTCTCACGATGACTTAGGGAGACATTGGACATGCCACCTAATTAGGTCCATCTTCTAGTCCTGAAACGTGGAAGGACATGGCCAAAGAGGTCTGCGTAAAATCTGAGCGGCTGTTGATATTCGATGTTGATTTTTATTGGTCATCCATTTCGTAAATCTTCAATAACCTCCTGCAGCAGAGGATTATGTGTAGCTTCTTAAGCGACTGTTTCAGCAGAGATGGACGGATGTTCAACGGGTTTGGAAAGTTTGCTTAGTTTAGTCTGTCCAATGAATCGGATACCGTTACTGCATCTTATTCCTTGTTGGAATTTTGTTGAGCCGTGAGACACGACAGCGCATTAGCATTGCATAAAGAAGACGTAAGTTTTTGAATAATGTTTAGTGGTAATCTAGAAGCGTTGAAGTTCCGTATGAGAGATGATTCCCAGGAAGGACTTCGGATAAACGAAAATAGTCGGTAATGGCCTGTGGTTATTTTAGGGGGACGGGGGGAACAAAAACAACCAGTCACGTGGTACCATTTTCAATTTGTTCATAGAACTCATCGGAGCTAAAACCTCTATTTCATTTTGCCTGTAATTCTTCTCTTTTAAGGAGACTGAGGGAGGGACTTGATACGACTTTCTTGAACCTTCTGAAAGATAACACCAATTTTTCACTTTGAAGCACCAACTGTTTGATGTCCAAAGTAACGCATTACTAATATCACACAGATCACTGCAAACAGCTGATTATTGACGCCGTTAGCCGCCAACAACTCTTATTGGCGCACCTCAAAAGTTCAAGAAAATCAGCCGCCACACAAAGCATAAGTTCCCTGATCACTTGATACCTTTAACACTGCAAGATTACGTGTCACTATACATCACCTCAGTTGTAGGCGGTAAACGTTATACTCTAATTCCTCAAACGTTTTGCAGATTGTAGGCCCGCTTATGAAAACAAGCAGCTTATAATCAAAGTCTTACCACTTATGGCAGTTAGTATTGGGAAATAGCTCTACTTTTTATAATTTCATTAATCGTAAGTACATGAAGAACGTTCGGTTTTACAACTGTCTGTCGGAAACCTTATATTTATCCACCAAGAGTGCACCCCTCAAAAAGATCACGAGTGGCTCTCTAATAATAAAATTAGCAAAGGAGCAGATATGGATCATTTTTAACATCTGTTTTTGTTTAACTAACCGTCTTTTCATAATGGGTATAAAACCCAGTCGAGTCAACGTTTATTTTGGCTGTAAGTGACTATCTGTTATCACTTACCGAAACTGCTTCTAGTACATCTTAAGCGTGTGAAAGAAATCTTCGCAAGGCGTTATTTGATTAATACCTGCAAAATTTTACTGAATCTGGAAATCAGATTGAATGGTGTGCTCACTTGATATGGAACCTATGGTTGCCTAGATCCTCTCACGGAAACGATAGATTTTGTACGTTTTCCCAGTGGACTATTCACAATTAACTCTCGCCACCTGAAAACCTTAATGCCAGCATTATTTGTGTACCAGGAATTTATTTTAGTAGTACCAGCTATCAACGCTGTGATAGCTTCTTGAACCAAAGCTGACAGACGCCTTTATGAACAGACAATAGTAAACTGCAAAGACCGAAATTCAAACTGTTCCCTTTTAGAAAAACAATATTTGGATGATTCCAAACATACTCTCGTTAGCGCACGAATTTGGTTTTGACAAGAGAATTAAATAAATCCGGCTGAATCTGTCGTTTTAGATGTTCAGACAATAGCTGCATGGCATTTTAATCAGCGCCAAGAACAGAAGACTGATTAAAACCTAATGCATGTTTATCATTACTTGCGCCAACATATTCAGTTTGTTTTTGGGTTCGAACACAACACCAAATTTCTCACTTTCCATTTTAAGGGGACCCTGGTGGCTCAATCATACATTTAATGCAATATAAACCTACAAGGACTGGACATTACTTTCCTTTTACCAGATGTTGCCCATTGCACGAACCTTAGTTCACGCGTCCGGACCGGTCTGCAAACCTGATGAGGCAAGCGGGCTGTTTAAAATCACCTACCTAGAGCTATTGACATGCCGTCCTCAAGTATGATGCTTTTGCAGATGATACTGGGCCTGGCAAATGCAACTGACATAAAATAAATACATATTTCAGCTGGAACGCTAAGCACTCAAAGCTAATATTCAGTCGTCTCCACTAGCAGCTGTGGCTACCGAGTCATCTAAAACCTAGGTTTTACCTACACCAGTATAACTGATAGAAAGTTTGAGATGCTGGCCAGAGGACACTTTCCCAAACAAATTTGCGCACCAAATCTTGAGGTGCACAGTGATTTAGTCTTAACAGCTAAAGCAGTTCATTTTATCCACCTATAATTCTGAAATTAACTCATCCTTTCAGGCCATTGCGAGACAAAGGCATTCAATAACTGCGGAATTTCTCAAGACATTATTGATCGATCTGTCGAAACCAGTGCTATGCTATCAGATAGACTCAGGTGTTCGTCTCAGTATTGACCAGGTTACTTTATGTGCAACCTAATTGACAAACTTATTGTGACTGCTTATCATTATCCTACCTAGTTTAATTTGCGTTAAACGTTTGGTCACTGACAAGAATAATATCTCAGCAGTATTGTTCTCTCCATACTTTTCAAACTTATGAAAGCAAACAGATGTCTGGATGCCTAATTGATTCGACACTCACGTTGATGCATGATGTACTCTGTGAGTGGCACAAGCCTGTTAATGTTCACACCGAGAGCATCGTGCATCTTCGTTGACAGAACGGATCGGTGCTGCATACTCGTGTTGCAGAAAACACTACCTGGAAAGTTATAGCTTCATTTGATTGAAGGGAGACCGTAAGTTGCAGGTGCCATTTTAGCCAGGTAAGTCTTATCCGTGCATTCGCACAGTCAGACTTGAATGTTTCGTTATGTGCATACTCGTGTTGCAGAAAACACTACCTGGAAAGTTATAGCTTCATAAGGTTGAAGGGAGACCGTAAGTTGCAGGTGCCATTTTAGCCAGGTAAGTCTTATCCGTGCATTCGCACAGTCAGACTTGAATGGCAATTTCGTTATGTCCCATCGTGTAATCCCGGAATCTGTATACGAGCCTTGGCATGATGAAATGTGTGCCGAGCTGTTTAGCACATTCGTCAAACAAGGAAGGAACCTGGTTATCTGAGGAGTTCAAGTAAGACCTCGTTTCATTCTTTTGATCCATCTACCTTACTCGAAGTTGTGCACATCCGATAGAGTTCGAAACAATTTTCATCAATATCGGCTCTTAGAAATGTCCTTCTTGCGCACGATGTAAAGACTTGTCCTTTATATTCGATTTCAGCTTCGTTTCACATCAAACTNATCGGTGCTGCATACTCGTGTTGCAGAAAACACTACCTGAAAAGCTATAGCTTCATAAGGTTGAAGGGAGACCGGAGGATACAGGTGCCATTTCAGTCAGGTAATGTCTTATCCGTGCATTCGCACAGTCGGACTTGAATAACGGTTATGTCCTGTCCCATCGTGTAATCCCGGAATCTGTATACATGATGAAATGTGTGCCGAGCTGTTTTGCACATTGGTCAAACGAGGAAGGAACCTGGTTATCTGAGGAGTTCAAGTAAGAGGTCGTTTCATTCTTTTGATCCATCAGAGTTGTGCCCATCCGATAGAGTTCGAAGCAATTTTCATCAATATCGGCTCATAGAAATGTCCTTCTTGCGCAAGACGTAAAGACTTGTCCTTTATATTCGATTTCAGCTTCGTTTCACATCAAACTATATATAGTTCCATTTGCTCTGACGCACGCCACAAAAACGTACATTTCAAACACTGAAAAACAAGTCCTCTGCAATCATATTATTTCATTCAATCCTTTCCTCATGGTCACTCACAAGGCAGAGCTAAGCTGTTTATATCATCACCTAAACATAGGCTTTTACTGAAGAGGTTAGTGAGACTTACATAACAGAGGGCACCGCTCAGTTCTGTTTGCGGGCAATGCGTATTCACTGGTCAGTAATAAAATCTGTTTAGTTTGTTATCTACGAACGTTGATTCGTAGTTCAGCCAAACGACTGAATGTTTTGTTCGACAACACATCCCCAATTTTCACGACTTGTCGCCCCAAATCCAGTCTTTCTCTACGAAATGCTTCTAATGTTCCAAATTAACTTACCGTCTGGATAGCCTGTACTGCACTGCCGGAGGGAACAAAGACAATATACTGTGTCTGAACGCAACTCACATATCCAGCTCACTTTTTATGTGACGGTTAATCACCCCTACGTCCAGCATATGCATCACAGGCAACGCACAAAGAGAATACATTTCATCAGATGAAGCTAAGCCATGTGAAGATATGAAAAACAAAAACGCCGTTACATTCGTGGATTCCGGGTATGCGGTGAAAAACTCATCCTAATCAGTCACCATGCTCACAAAAACAGTACCCTTATATCCTAACCAAAATACTTCGACTGTGCTGAATGTCTGAGTAAGCATACCCGATTGTCCTTATTATCATCTTGGAACTTATCGTCGTCATGGGGCCATTTTATCATTCCATCAAGAGTTTGCGGGACTACACAAACGATGACGAAAACAAAGTACACACCCAATTCATAGTGCCGCCACCAACCACGCTTATCATTGTGAACGATCTTACAGAGTTTGTGCAACCGGGTTCAGTATTTTCATTTTATCCAACACGAATACACGCTTTTCACCATCATGGGTTCTCATTGTTTGATTTGTGAGTGCCGGTCAGATACAATTTGACCTAGCAGTCAAATGATTTGCTTTTCGGGTGATCTAGCGAATTTGGGCTTTCTTGTTTTTGTTGTTGTCTATAATAGCCTTCTGTTATTTCACTGCGAACGTCTGAGCACTGTTGAGCCTGAGTGAGCTAAACCTAGTTGACGGTGCGATCATACCGTTATGCAGTTTCGCTGACTACGGCGCTCAGAAAGAAAAGATGTGAGCTTCATCTCGGTGGTTTGTTTTACACAAAGAGAACAAATCAGTGAACCATGTGTAACAGCTGCGCGATGGGGCTTTCTGCTGTTGAAGTTGCTGTCATCCATTTAAGGTCGTGTTGGTATATTATATTCCGTCACTTGTTGAAACCAACTTACCTGCAACAAACGAGGAAAAGCCGAATGAGGATTTTGCAGAAGGCTCAGCTTATAGTAAATTTTTTGGAATCTCTCAGATATCGCGGGTTTTGCTTGAGTTTCACTTGTCCGGGCAGTATTGGTTTTGGGCAGATGTAACACTATGTCGGAAGTTATTGACTGAAAGTAAAATGAATCATATGTTAGTCGATTCAGTAGTTCACTATGTGTGGAGTTATTCAGTGACCAACTCAAGTAGGTCATCGTAACACAGTAAGAGTGGTAGTACTAACCAGCAGCGAATTATTGGGTATTGTGGAATGGAAGTCATGTAGAAGTGCCCCAGATGTCATGTGTCGTGATCGTTTCGTTTGAAAGGTTGGTCAAATAGGATTGAAGCACTTTTAGAATGTCTCTATCAACTTCAGGAATATTGCATACACCGGCTTCTCGGAACTCTAGAGACTTATATTTCCGTTTTGTTCAGGGTAGCAAAGTCAACTCGGCTCAAATTCTATGCAATTCTTTTATTTACGGGTCACAATAGATTGTGTGGTGTCACTAGTTAGTAGCTGTTGAGATACTCAGTTATCTAGGATTCTCATTTATTGGCTCAGAGCAAGTAGTTGGTTTGAGTCACATCTGCGGCAAACATACCTAACCAGCTATCGTGGGCCTGGGTAGTTGAAAGTGATCTGACCTAAATAAAAATAAAGACACACTCAGTGAAGCTGAAAAATCTAGCGTAAAAAATATCACTCACTGGTTCCAGAACCACGATTTGTGCTTGTGACACTACTGCATCAAGATCTGATTCCTCATTCAATAAAAACCCGGTATCCAGCGTGTCATTTATGACGGAGTTTCTAGGACCCCGCAGTCTAGGCTTCTGACGAGGCTCCTCCAAATTCTTTTCCTCGAGGTCCTGCAAAACATGCAAATTTAGTCGCGTGATTTCCGCAATCGATAAAAAGCGACAGACATAACACAAATCAGATGCCTTTTGGATAACAAGCTACTAGGAAACAAAAAGTGCTCGGTGACATCAAAATTCAGTCCTTGGAAATATAATATGTGATCATGCATAGGATCTTGCAAGACAGAGAACACGCTAGTTGTCGGTCATCCACATCTCCTTTCTCAAGGTGGTACTCTCAAGAGGAGTCGCTCTATTTGATGGCAGAATTTTCCAAGTGCGAAATATTCAAGCTGGAAATTCCCAGCTTTCCGTACACAAACTGTAACGTAAACTGTTTCTCAAAGTTTCAATTCAATCGCCTGTGAACTGCCTGAATTGTCGAACCTCCTAGACTCACTGACCATTCTTGAGCTTTACTTAGTTTAAGTAAGAGCCTTCGATCAGCTGACGAAAGGTTACTAATATTGTTCAGTGATTTGTAACAACTTCGAACCTCCTCGACTCACTGACCTTTCTTGAGCTTTACTTAGTTTAAGTAAGGGCCTATGATCAGCTGACGAAAGGGTACTAATATTGTTCAGTGATTTGTAACAACTGAGAAGCAAAACTAGCGTTTAGATATGTATATTAGAGTAGATTTTTGGGTAGTAAACTGAACTATATGCACGTGAGATCATGCTCCTTTGCAAGGTGTCCCCTTTCTGTGCCACGACCTCATCGATCATGCGCTGTCTTCGCTATCGTCAGACGATGCAACAATGCAACAATTTCATCCGAACTCATGACCTTGCTCGGCTGTCTTTTACGGGTCTTTTAGACAGAGGTCTTGTGAGATCCGCGCAACAGCTTGAATATTCCCACAGCCTTGGAACAGTCTGCGAGATGTGTTGACCAGTGATAAGCGGTCCCACATATAAGGACTTACAAAAAGTCTTCGCGCCATCGTAACGAAAATCTGTCCGTGATTAAGTTGATGTAATGAACAATTCACTCAGCCCAGTTATCCTGGTCGGATTGAATCTTCGTGAGTCACTCATCCATTAGCGCTAATACTACCGAACGTCAAACACGGTGATTTCTAAACACAAAGAAAATCCTGGCAGATGAGCTCTGCGCTAATTATAAGCGAGGTAAAAAAGTTCGAGTTTGTTTTTGGAAATAAAGTTTAACACGAAAAATTCTAAAGAGCCTCGCGGGTCAACTGTATGAACCAGAACCAAGCTGAGATAAAACTTTCAATTGTTCTATTCTTGCAATTACATCATACAAAGTAGAGTTCGAATGCGCATCGAAACATAACCTACGGAACGCTTCCGTAGGTTTTGGTGCGATCATTGTGATTAATGCGGGTAATCCTGAAAGTATCATGGGGGTCAATTTAAAACGATAGTTGCGAACTTATACCCACTTTATGTATTGAAATGGAACTTGTGAGGAAATTTGTATGTATACTTTGTCCTATAAACAGACGAGATAATGCTTCACATAAGGTCTGGTTACTCCGTGATTGATAGTTTGTCACCTGCCTCACATAATACGGTGTGCGCGCTATTGGCGCTGAAGAAATTCCTGTATCAGTCGTGCAGTGAGGGTACATAGTTCTAAAGATACAGCCTAAAATACTTATTTATTGATCTGCGAACCAGTCTTGCCACATTCTAACGTTTATTTACTCACTGGCATTGAGATCCAGTGTCTCAGCCTAGGTTTGTCATGAGAATGTCGTTCACCGTGGTGATTTTGATGTAAGCCAACGATGGTGACCTCCCTTGATCGGGCCTGAGAGAGTTGTGGCTGCCACGCTGGGATTCGTTCACCTGAAGTTCGCAGCGTGCAGGATCTGGTTCGACTCACATCGACCGAGGAGTCTGTGGATGTAGAGGGTGTCTGGTCTGCCCCCGGGCTCGTTTGCCATGATTTGTTCACATGACCCGCTTCAGTAGAATGTAGGTTGCTTCCACTGGATTTTACCTCTGCGGATGTGCTTCGGTCTCGAGCGTTGAGCTGCTGCCGTATACTGGGGTACTTTTGCTTTGATTCACTATTAGAATTTGACTTCCGAAGATGGGTTGGCATGTAGTATACGAAATTAAGGTCGTCTGTGTCTGCAAGTGGGCTAACATATGAAACGACATGCGTTAAGGTGAGCAAGAAGGAAAAACGAAGTGTCTCTCGGTGACTCCCCTAGTGGTAAATCATAGAAGTTCCAAGACGAAGTTGCGCAACAATAATCGGTCACCTTGGTCTATGGACTGGATATCATTAACTCATATCTGGACAATTTATGAATAAACGCAAAACCTATCAACGTGTAAAGATGTAGCATGCTATGTTCAGTTAGCAGCTGTCGGTGGATTTCCGAACTGTAAGAGGGAGAGTGACATCATGTTCCCCTCCTTACTTTGGTCGATATATTGGAAAAAATGACGGTTTGATCAGCATAAAACGTTTCGAATAAAAGGGTGACCTAGAGGTTGTTTTACTTGTTTTCTGGCAGAATAGATACGCAAGTCAGTGACTGTATTTTTGTTTTTTATTTCAGTATTGATTTTCCGACTAAATTCGTACCATCCATAAACAATGCTAACGACCGCCCGAGAGAGACTGATAAAGAATTGGACAAAGACGCTGATGCAGCTGGTGACGAAAAGGATAATATTCCAACCACGTAGTACTTTGGTTTATGTTTTTGCTCTCAGCTACATCACAATTCACCGAAGAAAGTCGCGTGAAAAAAATCCGCTCTTATTTGAGTTTTATCAGCTTGATGTTGATCACGGGTAAAAGTGTTTATAACTATACCATTTTACCTCTAAGATTTGAGTTGCAGATTGTGGCCTGTGTACATTCCGTGGCACCAAGAGTCGAACTAAAAATTTTGGTTGATTAAAGGTGAACTTATGGAAAGGTCATTATTTGAGTTGGAGTGTCCAACCAATTCCAAGGTAAGATGGAAACATCACTACTCATCCTCCCTCATATCCACCTTGATGAAGTGCAAGGGAATCACTGATTCTTACTTGCCTGATCAAGTCGAAGTCAACTCGGTCTTCCGTCTACGGCATAACATACTAAAGCACTTTCAATGTTGGGATGTCCAACAGGATTCTAGAAGGCGTCAGTTCCGAATTCAGGAGCATCGCGATTTGAGGCAGATGCATGGCGTTCGACACCCAGGCTTGGTGAAAGCAAATAACAATTTGGTTATCGTTCTTCCACACTGATATGTGTTTAGTAAACTTATTCACGCTAAAATTACAGTAAATTGTCACGTCACTCGTAGCCAACTTAGTGTAAAGCATGCGTTCTGGTAGGATGGCTCATCCTGGATACTCTAGAATGACGTAACTAACCCAAATAAGCACTTGGGGTGACAATAATTCACCCCTCCAACTTGTTTACAGGCTGCTGTCAAACAAGCTTCTGCCTCATGTTATTCACAGTCAGCCGCCTCTCCGACATGGCAACCTGGTGAAAGTGATAGTTAACTAGCATGTGCTCCGAGGCTGCACCATGTGCTAGACTGTTACACTCGAATTCATATGGAAAGCAGATGTGCCTTGTGGCATCGCTCAACTTACCTCCATTCGACCAGAAAATTAAATCGAACACGGCCACTATGTTTCAAGTTCACCGAAACTTCGTAACATTTGGGTTTCAGCAAATCCAGCAGGTCAAATGCCTGATGTTGAAGCAACTCGCTCTTCCCCAGTCGTTTGATCTCGATTATCTTGAATGAACGAAATAGAAAGGCCTGAAAATGTATCTCTCTTAAATGTCTACATTCAAAAACAGCATAGCTGAACGGATGCAGTTGACCACGAATATATTTCTTAAAAAGATGTAGCTTTTTTACTTTACAAGAAAATAGTTTAAGGTCGGATGGGTCAATTGGATGTCGTTCAAGCTTGGCATCACAGTGCCTTTCTGACTGTAAGTCATCTCATGACTTGAATTCCAGCTCTAGCTTACAAGCTACTTCGACCTTCTTGTAGCAAACGAAGCTGAGCAACCAGTAACCACTTCAAAATTATCAGGCCTCCGCTCAGAAGGTCTATCCGGCTGCTGACAAGGGACGATACGTATTACACACACACAAAGGCCTAGTTGACTGAAGACCAGGCTCGTGAACAAATCGTGTATGGATTCAGACCTTTCACAGAGCTCGCTTGGCTTCCTTATTATCGTGTTTAGTTTCAACACAACTCGATCTAGCTTTCTAGAGTAAAGTCCACTTCCTGAACACGTAAATGGAAAGTAAGGTTATTCTAAATTCTCAACCACTCAAAACTAGTCCAGCAGGTTTCAGGCTTACTTGTTGCTACCGGACTCAAACACCTAGCAGGTGGGTAAGTACAGCGAAACCGCAGGACAGCCTTTAACTCGGCATACGAGATCATCATCATCAGAGACAGCAAGATCAGTGCTGTCACTGATGCTTCAGTGCCCCATACGAGATGTGGGATAGGCAAGTCACATTGCTGGAACTTTGATACTTTCATCTGTTCAGACGTGACAATCAGACGGTTTGTGTGATACGCATACACAGAAGCGTGTTACTGATGTTGCTATATTCACCACTGTCTTCCTGGACAAAGAATAAATGTCATGTTACAGTGACCTGTTTTTAACACGGAAGTCAACGAGACAGTGTGTTGGCAAACCCAACAACAAAAATGGAAACATTAGCAGATTAAGCCAGACATTCGGAAGACTATTTGCCACCTGTAAACTTGTAAATATGTGGAAACGAAACATAGCCCGTCCCAGGACTTACCTTCAAAGTGAACACGCTGTCGATCGCAGGACTAAACACGTAGGCTGGATTGTCCCAAGTCTGGTTTGAACAGGAACTGTTTCGCATAAGTACGCGATCTTTGTATACATCATCTTTGTGTCCCTGACTTGACGGAGGAGTAGTGTTTACACGTCCATGTAAGACCCACTTTTCCTCAACAGTACCTTTTTCGGCCAAGTTGACAGTGCTCCGATGGACTGGAATGTAGTTTGGTATTGTCTCGTTAAGTTCGAACAGCGTCGCTAAAATTGGTGGACCATGTTTGAGAGTGACCTTGAATTCATCCTTGTTGAAATAGTCACATGGACCGGAAATACCAGTCACTTCGCATTTCAATGTTCCTGATAGGTACTCTGTTTGAGATTCGATGTGACACAACTGTTGCTTGAAAAATTCTTCCTGTTTTTTGTTGGATTCAAACGCCATGTCACTTTTTCCATAGCGACTGTGCCTATGTTTGGTTTTGTTTCGCTTCACCGTATTATCTGCAAGATGGGTTGATGAAGTACGTTTGGCTGCAGTCGCTTGCGGCTCGCTATCCATCATCTCGCCTCCTCGCTCAACTGTTCTTGATCTGAGTCGCAACAGATTTAGCACTGAACTTCCCCATGCATATTTGGCCTGCTGTGAGTTTGGACGGTAGTCTAGTTTAGTTGGTGGGTACAATCCTCCACCGTCTTGGTCGTCTGAAGTCAGTACAAGTGCCGATTTACTGAACTCTCGACTTTTGAGTAATGGGGGATCTTCAATATGACGATGTTGTCGGCTACTGCAAGATGAACTCAACTCTGTTGGATAAAAGAGACAGAAATTTGCAAGGTTTTTACTGAAAATATGTAAAGAATTTCAAGCAAAGATTGGTAATGGGGCATGACTGCGCTTGGCGCTCTGGTTACACATGAATAAGTAGCCGACGGTGAGAACTGCAAATTTATCTTTTCTGGGATCTGCAATATTCGGAGCTCGATGAAGTTGGCAACCATAAATGAGCTTCCCGAGGTTAATTTTGACTCATGTATTGTGAAGCTAATTGTGAAACAAAAAAAAATAAGGCAGGGACCAGTGTCATTGTGTGCCTCGATTATTTGAGAATAACGACCAGGATTCGAATATGTTGAGTCCCATGTTAGCATCAGTTAGAAACTTAATCTGCAGAGTGCCTGAATCCGACAGAATACATTTAACATATTCACAAGCAAATAGCTTCAGAGAATAGGTTGAGTACGGTTGCCATGTGCGGTCCATGGAGTAACAGCTCACGTCACTTTCGTTAGGTCAGGAAAACCGAGGTTCCCAATCCATCCAGTTCAGTTCGAAGCCAGAACGATTGACTCCAAGCAGTTCGGTTACTCGGATTATGGTTATTGGTTGATTATTGTTCTGACATACACAGTGGAACCAAAATAGCTCAGCAATCCTCGGTGTTTAATGCTCATAATTCAACGCGTTCATCTTCGAGGCGCAACGTCTTGTTATAACCGGTTTTTTGCCACGCACCTGTCCCAAGACGACTCCTGATACCGCTGAAGAAGACCGTGGAATCCAGATCCAAAAGGCAGTAAACACTTGGATTACCTGGCACCAAATAAAGGTGCTGAGTGAAATTTCCACCGTCACGAAAATAGTGGATTTCACCACAGTGGGACAGTTTATGTGCACCTCCATAGCCCATTCAGTTATATTGGGAAGCGTACCTGTGACATTCTCAGAGGCCTTCATACTAGGTTGATCAATGGGCAGCGGTCTGACTAGTAGTCTCTCTCCTTCTGATTGAGGACTGAAACATGTGTGGCAACTTGTTTCAAAAAATCTAGACTGCTGTGAGGATCATACGTCGACTACCGCTGCCTTGTGGTTAGGAGAAACATAATCGTCCACCTGTCACGTTCTGGGTGCCTGACAGTGTCCCAGCCTGTGTATAATCATGAATTCCACACAAGCAATCTCATGTCACAATAATCGTCGCGTGGTGTCATTATCCCGGTCACATTCCTTGCTACATACAATAGAAACAGTAGGCGAAAACACCCTCCGTTTCTCTTTCCCCGCTTGGACGTTCCATTCATCCTCACGCAAGTGCCAGCAGCATCTCCGTAGGCTCTTTCATGGCGACTGACAGATCCTTAATGGCATAAGGCCACAGTGTTTTCATCCAAGGTTGCTGTCGATTAGGATGATAAAGATTATCATCATCATCAACAGCATGATATCAGTGTTCAACACCGATGATAATGGACATTTTCAACTGTTTCACTGTTTCAGGGGATCTGTAGTGCGCAAGATTCGGCTGCAGACAGCTTTCAAGAATGCCGGTCACTTGGTAAACCAGGGATGGTAAAACCGAAACATCCTGAGAAGTTTTCCCATTTCGCTCACTGCTCGAGTGTGACTCTATTAGAAGCACTGAATCCACCTCAGCAACACTTATTTAACATTTCGTCTGAGCCTGGGGAATGATCATATGAGCAGCTTGGGTAAACAAGCCAATGTATTTGACATTTCGGAGTCAAGTACTCTAGTTTCCTGAAGGCAGCGAGATAGAAAATATTGTACACCAGCTGTGACACAACCTGTGCCGACATAAATAGTTGAAACAATCGATTACCATTGTTCAGGAGCCATCCCTTGCCGTGAGACCTGTAGGAAGCATGAGGTTTGAGATCCTGCTGAATTTTCAGGCCCATACAAGAACCATCAGATCATCAAAGGGAGCTTCGGATTCGTGATTGGTCAGTCTGGGATTAGCAGGACAACTTTAAAGTGCCCCGAACTCACGTTTACTGTAGCTTATGCTATTGCAGAACAACTACATGACGGAACATATTCAACTGAAGTTCAATGTGAATAGAGCAGTCCAAAATAACAAAACAGATTTGAGGAAAGAATGCACTGACACAATTTGTCATCCGGCGTCTCAGTAACATTCACAGTGGCAATGCATTAGCTGGACGTCGAGAAACCAGCTTATAATGGACTCCCCTCCGCTTGACAACTGCGCAACCCTGCAGTCTCCATAAGGCAAGCTCAAATCAAAACTAACATCACAAGACGATAAAGAAAGACAACTGTAATCTATTCCAGTTTACAGGGTTTTTCGTTAAGACCTGTAAACAAAAAACCACCATGCCTTCGTTGCGTTGGTCAACTCAAAGTCCTATCAACGATTAGTGTAGAAGCAAACACCGAAAACAGAATCGTCGTTAACCTTTGCATACCCACAACCTCGCACGATGGATGCGTGATGCTTTTTAGTCGCCTTCCCAATAAAACCAGGAAGCACCCTCTCGGGTAAAGACTACAGGCGCACTAACCGGATCGCTTCAGCTGGGTACCTAAACATTTGTGGAATTTATCACAACAGATTAGAAGTAACCAACGTCCGAATAGTTAGATAACCACTGCAATAGATACGATGAGTGTTTGGTAAACATAATTCCAACTGGGATGATACTTCAACATTTGGATTGGAATAACTCTGTCAGGTAAACAAATTCAATTCCCACTCTGTTCATGCCTTATCGCTTAGAGGGTTTTTTCTAGGTTTATATGACGCGGATAAATGGGTGAGAGTCATGAGCTGGTTCCGAATTTTCACTGTGCACGTGTATCAATCAGCCGAGACAGCCATTTCCTGAAACCGGTTTTGGCTGGTACATACCCTTTAGGTTTACAGCAGACCGATAGACCTTGATTCAACTCGCAGTCGATCTGAGACCCATATAAAGGTAAGCCGTAAGGAGTGTGAGCAGTTACTACCTGGTTTGAGATATTGTGCACAGCTACAGGGTCTCATTGGAGAAAGAGTAGCTACAGGGAGTTATATCTGAGAGAAAAGGTGCTGCGTAGGTGGCATTTCTCATTCATTACCCAATCCCTCAAATACGTTTAATCTGTAAATCTCCTTCAGTTCGCTTTTTCAAAACTCTAATTTAGTCAACTGATTTAATCTTATTTCAGGGGACCGAATGAGAACAGCTTTCATTGTTTTGACGTTGACACGTTGTCACAGAATCAAGGGACCTAGCTGATTATTTCAGCAATAGAGTTGTGCTGTGCAAATTGTATCTTGGTGATGAAGACCCGTCTCTATGCAACAAAACAAATTTATGTCGACGTAAAGCAAAATCTGGTAATTTTATTTGGAATCAAAGCCTCTTTCTCGGCAATCGCTACTAGTTGGTGGCTGTATCATTAGCAAGCTACTTGGATTTCCCACAAAAATATATTGAGTGTGTACACTCCTTCCTGGAGGTCACTAAGCACCCTTCTAAAAATCCATCCATATGTTATAAGCCATCTTTATGTGCATGTGAAATTGTCAGAGACCAAATAGGAGTCCTCAAGAGCGCTTGAACAGTGAATAATTGCCGCCTGTTGCCAAGCTTGAGCTCAAATACTTCGTGTACTGACCCACTTGGCAGGCAAGGTGGTGGGTTTGGAATGCTTCCTTAGTTATGCAGTCGATTAGCTTAACAGTGACTGTTACGTACTACAATACTGTACCAAAAGACTGAAATCCACCTAGGGTGGATGGGTTCCACAAGCAAGTTGTACACTTATCTCCTCAGGAAATCTTTACACTATAGTACATCAGCGGATTATGCAATACTGACTCAACGTTTTATTGGATGATCAGGTATCCAGAAAGTTGGCTGCCGGTTGAGTAGCTTTTGAGAATATGGAACAGAATAAGCGGACTGGCGAGAAATTCTTTCGAGTTACGGTTAGCTACCTATTTCGTGGTTCCAGCGATTACTATATATTTTTGTCCAGAGGGTATGCACAGATTATTGGAAGGTATTAAACCTGAAACTCCGATACTCCTGTTCTTTACTCTGACTTGCACTAAGTAGTCGCTTAGACTGGCAAAGCTTATCGCGTTAGTGATTGTCCAAATATGTTTTCAATTTTCGCGATAGTTTATACTCAAAGCTTCACTATTTTGGTAAGTCCTACATCATACGTGTTTCATCTCTGGGTATTTAGTTGCGCGTACACGAAATTCGCGGTTTGGATATACGTATTTGACTTAACTTCAGCTAATATGACAGTTCGTAAGTAATAAGAATGATAACAAGGCATTAAAAACAAAGCAGAATGAGTAACAATGCAGAGGCTTGTAACCAAGACTCTAAAATCACGACACGAAATCTTTCGGGTTGATCGGGCGCTATAGCCATCCGCTAAGATGACTGACATACAATCTAGAAGATAAATAACCTCGCGTAACGGCACAAATTTACAAACTCGATTTGCCCTAACAACTGTTTCGGTTCAGTGCTTCTTCTGGAGATTGGATTGTTATGCTGGTGTATAAATTTGTCCGTGAATCTGTCTAATGTATCAGTCAAATACCGTTATTAGCGTTCTTTCCACTCCGGCGAGTTGTCTGTTCTGAGTAGCTGCCAAGTGGCATCCGCATAAAGCGACCGATTTTTATTTCACTTTAATGGTATAATATAATATCGAGCAACATTAAATTTCCATCTAAAACTCATCCAAGCTACCAGTTGGTAAGGTATTCATTCAGTACCCGTGACAAAAACTGCGCTGGCAAAGTATGCACCCTGTTAAGAGTCCCATGTAAATACGCGTAGATTTCGTAACACCGGGTCATCCTAACCAACATTGTACATCATCTCGGGTACGACTGAATGTGTTCAGATGAGTAGTGTATTCTGCATAACAATTTTAGGGCCATTGTGTCGTCCGGAAGTTGCAAGAAGAACCAGTTGTGAAAACTGACTTTAGTCCATGTAGCCTATTGGGATGATATTACACTTCCTATGAGGTTGTCGCTGATGAGGATGATGATGTTGATGTTGGCTCCCAGAAGCGGTTGAACACTGCACTAACTGTTTCTCTGTCCCTGAGGCTCATCACGTAGTCGTAGTTCTCCAAACCAAACAGCAACCTGTACACGAGTGAGGAATACACTAACTTGTAGCCTTATAAGAAGTATACTATCGAGGCAGGAAAATACGTTTTGAGATTTTTATGTGACTTACTCAGTCAAAAAAGAATTCCACAAAAGGCAGATTCGGTTGAAATCTATCGTTAGGAACAACTTTTATTCGAAAGTGAGTGTACCTCGCCAACTGGGTATAATCAAGTGCCCAGGCAAAACAAAAGGCTGATGGAAACTCGAGGACTACGCCTACTTGAAAAGTCACAATAAGGAAAAACTGTAAGGAGGCTGTCAAAGTATATGCAGGAGCCTAGTGAAAAGTGCTACTTTCCTCGTGTTTTAGACGGAATAATTTTAATTGTCGGTCACGGAAGGAAAGAAACAGCATATGGCACTTATATCAACAAATCCAAGGCTTTTTATATTAATCTGATTTCCAGAAACAAGGAGTTTTCCTTCTTTGTGTAAAAACCAACTGTAGCACAGTGAATGCAAGTGTTCGTGTTCATCGCATGAATTAGGTAGAAAAGTGCCATACTTGAATGTCAATTGACGAGATGCACAAAGTCATGTACGCACAACGCCGAACGACAAGAAGCAGGGACGAACGGTGTGTATGTATCCATGTACACGGCACCATGATGAGCACTTCGAGGAACCGGAAATGTGCAGTGCATTCTAATAAGGTTGGTCGCAACTGAGGGCTTTTCGGAGCAAGATGAACAAAGAACTAACGATGCATTCTGCTTTACGGGACAACCAAGTTGTATCACATGTGTTTCGGGTCGCGGAGATGGCTGAGGGATACAATTTCCGATTTTGACCAAAAGCAAGTAGAAATACCAAATAATATGAATTGTGTGCTATTCAGGCCAGGGAGACTGGACCAACAACAGTGGCAGCCCACTCTGATTCAGTATAATGAGGTTGCGCCATGACTAGAATCCTTTCCAAGTCGTAAAATCAGTTCACGCGGAGTCTGGAGGGTCAGAGCATGCTGTTTACGTTAATTGTAATTGTAACAGGCTGTCTGGTTTGTAAAATGCATCAACATGCAGCTTAACCTGTAATATCAGGTGAGAAACATGCGTGCAGGCAGAAGATTGACCCTTAGTGACTTGCAAGTCAGGTTTTTAAAAGTCACGTGCATTGGGTGTGAAATGTGAGATGTTGAAAGCGAATAGTTTTGACCTGCAAAATTTCTAACTCATGTGATGTGTGGGCGTGCAAGCGTTGCATCGGTCATTGCTTCAAGCAAATCTGATTTGAGACAGCTGCCAGATTACGTAACAAGTGGCAAAATACATGGTAGATGTTTTTGGGACGGTTGATCGAAGATCTGGGACTTGGATCAACACAATAACAAACGACTGAATGTTTTTTGTAAAAATGTACGAATTTCAGACCTGTATGCGATTCACCGTGAGAAAGGACTATTTTGGATGATAGACCTCTTAAACGGCCCATGGTCAATCAAGCTCTGCTGAAAACTTGCAGGACGGATTGTTATCCCCCTGTTGCTACTGGGATTAGTGATTTAAGTACATCATGCTTGGTTAAAGCAAATGGTTCAAATAGTTGTGAGGAGCCCACGGTCAACCAGTGGGGTTGTTTTCACGGTTAAAATAAAAGTTACCCTACCGAAGCCAGCCAGCTTTAAATGAGTTAATGAGTAATCTGCAGGAGAGTGGCTTTTAAACTTTCCGTACCCAGCACTACAGACTGATGTTATTCTTTGTCAGGCCAATAAATCGACTATCAGTAATGGGATTAGTGATCCGAACGGACGATTATGGCATGTGGATAGACTGACTACAGTACTGATTACCAAACTTCTTAAATCTATCTGATGTGAGGTAAAAACACCTATGTTATGTTCTATGCTCATTTCCAATTCCCCTATTACCTCAACAAAAAACATTCTCGTGAACGCACAACTGATTAATCGTGCCTTGAGGATTGTAAACGCAAACAGTTATCTCGTTTATTTCAACAGCATTATGTTAGAGAACCTGCGTGGTTTCTTCTGATGATCACTTTTAATGGCTGTATATAGTTGTGGTAACACTGGTGCATAATGAGAGCAAATTCACTATTCCAAATTTCTCAGAGGCAAAAAAATGGTATTTCAACTTACGTTTAAGTAATTTGTAATACTTGGTATAATCATATTCCAGAAACGATATCTGAGGTAAAGATAGAGTACAGAGAAAATCAACGGATGAGCCAGGAAGGTGAAATATGGTTCCAGAAAAGCTGTGAAAAGCAGGGTACTTAAAATAAAAATATCCTGAAGCTATACATCGCATTTATGTGTGGTAACGCTCCACAAACATTACTTGATCAATTCCGGGACATTTAGAGTATTAGAATCATTCACAAAGGATACCACAACAGTCTGAATTACGTATTCCTTAGATAAGCTGATAGCCTAAACGAATAATTTTTGAACGAGTGTTGTATCCATACTTTGATGTTACATAGCGGACTCTGCGGTAGCCAATAAAATTATCAAAAGTTGAAAGTCACATGCTTTTTATGGAGATGTCACTCTTTGCAGAATGACGCAGTGAAACTCAGTTTCTAGCACTGTAGAGAACAGTTGGCCTCTGCCAAAATTCGTATGCTCCATAGAGCAAGAACAATCCAAATTCTAGGCGAGGTTCATGGTCACGTGACGCGTGCATATGAGCCATGGAAAGAATTCGAACATTGATTTCATGGATTACTGTAGCTCAGACAAAATGAGGTACACCAGAGATTAGTTGTACCGAAACAAAAGCAACTGGTTTATTGTTCAAGTTCTGCGGTTCAAGAAGATACAGTCTTTTTTCACTACATTCACCTGACAGAAATTTTCTGAAAACTGAGCGCACCTGATATCAAATTGGCCCAAATATCTAGAATGTTCCACCAAATTGGAAGGAAACTTCAAAGTTCTCAATATTATCAGTCAGCTACCTCTGTTTATTCACGTGTTAAATGATCGCATATGCGAATTCATTATTGCTGGTTTACAAAGCTCCGTGGAATATTTACGGGGGTTACGAAATTCAGATAAAGTAGAGACGCGTTTGACGAGATCAATTTATTGAGGATAATATTCACATCTTTCAGTATTGCACTGTTTCTGAAAGTAGAGGCCCTATACTTCAGACAGTTTCATAGTGTTTCGGCGAAAATCCTTCTGTCCCAAAAGCCTGAAGTTGTTGGAATGATGGAGCGATTACACGCATTCAGTGGGGGTAAAACATCACCTGGTCTGATAAACTTCTGATGGATCATTCCTGAGTTAACGTGAGAAGGAAGTTGTGTGCGTCTGCTCATCTAAAAAATCATGCACGTTTTCAGTTTTGCATCTGAAAGTGTTTTCATTCCAGATAAATTCTCTTTAAAAAAATAGGTTTTAAGTTCGTTTTCTTGCATGAGGGAATGGCAATACTTTTCAAAATACTGTACTTGCAGGAAGGTTGTACTTTTCCAGAATGTCACTCGGAGAGTAAATCCATTAGAATGTTGTACGAACAGGTCTCGTCAACCATCAGAAATCATTTTGAAGAGACCTGGACGGATAAATCTTATTGCGCTTTAGTTCTTACAGACACTTGGGATTCTCTCTCCTAGAATTTCGGGCATATGGCGTGTTAACTTCGGGCACCCGGGTAAACAGTAATGACCTTTTAAGTATTTGGAGAGAAAAATCCAGCGCTCCTAACAACTTCGTAGATTTTGAGGGAGTGTCGCATATCTTTTTGGATAATCTGACTACAAACAGTTCTAGTTAAAGGAAAAGTGATTTTTTAGAACTGGCATCTACCCGGTTAAACGTAATTCAAACCTATGTCTCTTTCAGCTTTAGAAGTGACGGCTGAATGCATATACTCAAAATGGGGTGCGCGTTGTTTGCCATGGTTAATCGTAAATGCACACGATCCTCAACATTCTAATACAATTAATCTCGCCGCATGTAAAAGCCCCTGAATGGGTCGTAACAGGTCAACCAAAAACCTGGTATACCCGAAATATTAACTCAAATCGTCCCATGGAAAGATTTTCAACCGATCACACTGTACAATTCGACTGTATTTATATTCGATCATATTGACGTATATTGCTCTCTACCGCGCCGTATTGCATTACACCACATTGTTACAGCACACTATAGTATTATATTGCATAAAATGTACTATGTTACGTTGTATTATAGTATTTCATGCTGTATTTATTATATGACGTTTTATATTGCAGTGTATGACATTCTACCGCAAAAGTATACTGCATTATATTATATACTGCATTATAAACATATGCATGTATATATACACACTTATATATACATATATATACATAGTATTATTATATTGTACTGTACGATGCTATTGTACGCTACATGCTCGCATGTGCTTCAAAAATCCACTGAGGAAACTCCAATCAAGGCTGTTTCTAATAATGTCAGCTGTCCTTGATTAATCGGTTGATCGCCTTCCAATGAGACGTCACACTTAAAACTTAATTCTACTCGAAATAAAGTCAGTGGATACGGGCAGGCAACGGAAGACATTTCAAACAAACTGCAGATGTATGAATAACACTCACGGTTTTCAGACGCTGTTTCAACCGAGAAAGTAAAACAGCAACCTGAAAATGAAAGAAAAGCGGGTTGATAAGACTTCGGTGACACTCACAAAAAGATAACATTGAAGTTGAGGGAAATTAAACTGTAGGTTTTAGAATATGGAATTGAGAAGAACATGGTTGTTTACCTGAAATTCATTTCTTCCCTCCCTTAATGCTCGATAAATTGTCACTTCGATGCTGATCACAACAGCCGACAGACCACTGGTGGAGTGAATACGAACAACGCCAGCGGACGTCTACGAAAATGAGGGTAAACCTGGCTAACCTTGTCATGCCAGTCTCCGTCGCCGTGAAGTATAGGGCAATGGGATGAACAAGGTAGAAAGATTTGCTTGTTGGCTATTGTTGTGTACCTAAACAGCGGACCTAGAAGCGAACGTAATCTGTGCTCCTAGATTATAGACAAACCTTGCACCAGGAGACCAGTTCTACAAACAACTTCAGCAAGTCTTCAAACAAGTATCTCGCAAACAGAATATCAATACTACAGGGGACTGGAGAACTTCATTTATCTAACCGTGTCATCTTTCTCTCAAAAGGTTTCGTCTATTCTGTTGTTCTTACCGTCTTTATAAGAAATGGAGAAAAACTGGTAATCCAATCAGGTCGTCTAATACCTCTGTTCACATGTCTATAAGGGCAATTCACAAAGTTATGTCTCTCATGCCCATTTAGACAGGCCTTCTGTATCACCCGGAAACCAAGCCAGCTGCCTCAGAATTAACTGCCACACAGCTAAAAATAATAAGGGCTAAAGCTCTGACCAGCAAAAATCTCAGTCAAGAGTTGATGAGAAGTGCTTAAGACCAAAATCCAAAGAGGCCTTTAAGTTCTCGGTTCCTTAGTGAATAGTTTGTTACTATATCGGAGCCTAAAAAAGCTATTTCCACGCTTCCATCCTGCAGACCGCATCCACTTTGGGAAATTAATGGCTTATTTAATATATCTGGATGCAAACACTTGCGACTCTAGGATGATTCGACCTCATACAGCTTGTAACAATGTTGCTACGCAGTAGCTAAGGTGAAGTCTCCTTTTCTGATATTGCGTACTCCACTGAACACATAACAGCCAGAATTTACAACCAAAAGCTGAGTAATCACCGATGTAAAACCCAGTACCGCTTTATTTGATTGTGAAAAAGAGAAAATGGCAGAAATTATCCGGTGGGTAAAAAAAGGTAAGCTTCCGGTTAGGACAATATGTACGAAAAGGCGATCATTCTCGGCTCATGGGCTACCCTGCAGAGGTAGAATGAAATGAGAATCTCCGAAAAATCGATAATTATTTATAATGTCCAGTCCAAACAGAGGCGGTAAAACTACTTTCAGTAACTGCAGAATGACTGCCATGGACTATGCAGTGAGATGTCATTCCACACATCCACTGGAGTTTCTGCCTACAGAAAGTGGTCTTCTCACTAGGTCGGGCGACGAAGGCTGTGTTGACAAACCCTTTAGCTTATAACGTATTTCAGAACGTCTGAACGCATAGAAACAGCTAGCAGTGCCCCATTCCATCAGTTTTTGAGTCACATTCCACCTCATTGTCGGAAGCCTTTCTGAAATGTTATGTAGGCACCTGTTGTTCAAACCAGGCGTATGAGGCCGATATCATTGTTTCAGTCGCGACAACAGAGCTTTTAGCTTTGCCTTTGCCACTGAGTGTTAGGTTTGGATAATATATATATACATAAAACATTCAATAACTATATCCAAAGGCTCTGCAATTATTCGATTTCAATGAACACTGGATTATGCAGTGGGCACCCGTTTACTTCCCGAAGTCCAACTGACATGGTGACGAAGACAACTACAGTGGCGGGGAAGAGTGGCACAAAAATGCTAGGGTGGAGTGTGGGGTCACAATGGCAAAACTCGTCTCGTCATATACAAAGAAAAGAGCCCAGAAAGAGAGCCAACCCTTCAAGTTCGTTGAATAAACCACACGTTATAGCGTTCAGGCCTTCAAAGTAATCACTGCTATCATAGAATATTGAAGAATGTCTTCCTCACAGTTAATCAGTTTACTATAATAACGGACCAGTAAGCGCACTTACAAGTCAACAATTTGTCCGTTAGTGTCTTACAGATGCCAAACTGCGGAGCGCTATGGATTATCGAAGTTTTGAAAGTTTTGGGGATGAAAAAACATATATTCACAGCTTTTCGTTAAAAGATGACCACGTAAAGAATGGTCCCATAAAATGGACCAAACAACATCAAGGACTCCAAAGTTATGAACGTCCCCTACGACTGCCATCTGTATAACCAATAAACCAATTGTTCTTAGCATTACAACACTCTGGACAGAATATCCCTCCAGTGGAAAATATGGCTAAACCAGATCAAAGAGAAAGTCGCCAGGCTAGACGTTCGCCATGTTCAGAGCTTGTGTTGATGAGCTCAGAATTAAACCAGCGCGCTTGGATTGCCGCGCCTAAGCTCATCAGCGATTTGGTGAGTGAATTTCATACCTCAGAAGGTCTTCATTTAAGAACATGTGGAATTACGTGGACCATATCCTGAAAGGAGGATCGTACCAACAATGCCAATAGCTCAAATGGCTGGCTGAAACACGTAAGCGATGTTTTGCGGCTTGGTGATGATAGGTTGTTTGGCTGTTCACTTGGTTCGGCAGTTGGTAAAAATTTAGCTGCAGTGCTTTATCCAGTAGAAACGTGTATGACTGTCACTGAGAGTATTTTGTCGCGATATCCAAAAAAAATACTAAACCAGTTTCAATTGCAGTGGACGGAATAATGCTGGATTATAGCTATTCGATTATTAACAAGGAGGCGTCCCGTTGCTTGTGAATTCTTAAATAATTCCAGACGCCGATGAAACTGTCGGGCTGTTCTGCGAAGAACTAAGATTGAAATTTATTTCGGCGATATTCAATCTTTTTTCAGTACTTTCTAGGCATATACGAGCCTCAACAGGGTAGTGATTTTTAGCTTCGTGTTTCTTGGAATTCACTACGTAGGTGAGTGTGCACTGGGTATCCTCCCGGTGAGAACCATGTCATCCTTGCGCACGGTGTGAAGGTATCTCGAAGTGACACAAACTCCCAGGTAATCAGATGTGACCAAACGTAATCAGGCGCACAACAATTGGCCACATTGACAATTGGATTGGAACGAAGCTCCACTTGATTTTACTTACTTACCGAACGGCTTTGGGGTTGCAAAGCACTTAGGGATAAGTCCTGTAATTCCCGAGATAGTAAATGATCCTACTGACGAAACACGTTACACAAATGGGTGCCTCTCGAAAATCAATAGTCGATTTTTGTACTGTCTGCCAAATAAAGACAAAATACTTTATTGGCTGTTGATCAGGTGGCTGTTGGTCTGTTCGCTAAGCTTGGCAATTGGCTTGCAAACGTTTCGTCGCCACCCAGCTGCGCACAGATGATGTCGCCTCGTATGTTGAGGAAACGTTTGCAAGCCAGTTGCCAAGGTCGGTGAACAAATCAACAGCCACTTGAGAAGCAACCAATAAACTCAACCAAGCTACCAGTATTTCAAAAAGTTACCAACAAAACACTTTCTTTCCACTATGTACTTATTTGAGGAAGTTTGACCTTCAGGCTTGGAGTTAAGGATGTTCGCGGAGACCAGAGATTTAGCAGACCGGATTGCATGGATTCATCCTAAATTTTTCGTGGTGCCCAAAATCCTAAGCTGTGCATCAAACGTCAGTACAGTTGTTTTCTGGTACCAGTACAAAGCAATAAATGGTTTTGTTGTGACAAAGAACTGCGTTCATGCTTCAATTTCAGCGCTTATTCTAGAAGTGAAAAATGAGGCTTTGTGTTATGCGAGAGCTGCATATTACCTATGAATTAGTGCATGCTTCTTGTTCCTTGCGATTATTTTGGTAATTGTATGCAAGCAGCTGGACTACAGGTGACGAACGCTTGTCGACTCATCTAATGTCAGTCCTCGGTGTTTGAGATTCGATCGAGACTAGGACCTCTGATGGTGCTAATAGCAGACAAAGGTGGTCTGTTTTGGAAGGATGACTGTATGCTTGGATTTTGATCTGATTCGGCCTTTGTTTGATCCTTAGCTTACCACTTTGTTATAGGACAACAGATTGGACCTCTGGCGTAATTATTTCGACGGAATAATCAAATACCTGAAGTATCGGAGAATCGTAGTGAATGAAACATTCTGCTTGAAATAATTAGCGTTTGTTTGGCCACAGACTGCGCTTCAGAGGTCCTACACAAATTCCACCACCAGAATAAAGCTGTGCAACAGATGTAAAACAACTGTGTAGATGTGACAAAAAATTCTTCGATCGAAACACTATTGGGAGCTAGTGGGTGGATCATTCTTAGACTTCTTAGGGCAACCGGTAAAAATTGCTCGCGGACAGTTGGGACGCATCCAGATTGCGTTGACATGCGACATCGATTTCTTGTCTTTTGACTAATCGCTATTTGAATCCCGGCAATGGTTATTTGACTTAACTGGAATAAAACTTCTGTCTGATGCTCCTTTGTTGTTGGAGACCACGCAGAATTTTTTTTTCATGAATGGAGGACGACTGGTTAATTAGGAATGTTGTTGAGAAAATCCAACATAACCTTCATCAACCCTGGAATAATCGAAAGAGGAGAACTCTCAACAAGTTCAGACAATATGCTTTTACTAAAAGGCCCATTACCTAATTTGGTTGGTTGCGCGTGAAATAAGTTGCGTCGTGATCTCATCTCTTGGTACCTGATTGGTTCGTTGTGGCCATCGATTCGACAACCTATTTCTCCGTTGTGATTGGATCGTTTTCCTACTTGCACTGCGGTCTGAATAATCGACTGGATAGCTTCATATTTCAATAGCTTCCTTTCTTTGATCTGATTGGTCCTTTGGTGATCTTCAGGTTGTTTGATTTCCATGTGATGCAGAGTTTAGTGACAGCGTTGTTATTTTGTTCGTAGCAGCCAACAGACTAGGTATTCACTGAACAATTTTTGTGTGAAATACGGCGCTCCGCAAGCATTTGCTTCCGTTTTGTTCCTGTGTGAATTAGGATTTCAACACCCTTTCCAAGTAAACTGATGTCCTTCTCTGTTTTCATGGATTGAAACCGTGGTATTGGGTCATATTTTCTCCCGGCAAGCTTGTGTTGGTGTATTCTGGTGACAAGTTTTCTTCCAGTCTGGCCAAATTGTTGTTTGTTTCAGTCGTTACAATCAAGTTCACATATCACGCTCGTCTTCTTCATTGGTTTCGAGTGGGTTCTTCTCAACTTGCATACAGGCTTAAAGGCGACTGATATATCATTTTGCTTTAAATGTCATGTGGTGATTTCTCCGATGATTTTGATGTACGGAAGCGTAATCTTTATCTGTTTCGGTTGCGTTGGCCAAGTTTTCTGATGTTTGTTTTGTAAGGATCTCCATATGAAGTTCTCTAGGTGGCTATTATTTTGGAGAGTCTGGTAAGCTCTTCGCCAATCTTTCTTTCTCGACTCTGTCTTGCTGTAGTGTGTCGCGATCCGCTTGAATAGGGCTCATACACAGCTTCGTTTGTAACAGTTGAGACGGTTGCTGAAGTAGTTTAGAATCCGGTCCATGTGCATTTCTTTCTTGTATGCTTCAGTTTGCAGTCGGTTATCTGTTGTCCTTTTAAAAAGTACATCTGGGAATACCAATTTATTGTTCTCCATTTCCATTGTAAAGCGAACGTCCGGAAACAAATTATTAAACATTTGGTGTGCTTACTATATTTATTTTTCTGTACATTGGTCTGGTGACACAGTCCGTTCCAGTCTGTGCACTCGATAAATTTAGAGATTAATGATCCCATTGGCCGTCCTTTCAGTTGCTCATAACATTCTCCAATGAAGTAGGCAGTCAAACATAAATATGGTGGTTCGCATATTTATTCTCTCCCAAGAGTTACGTTCATGATTCCTTCGTTGTCCAGAAGTTCGTCAACTACCATCATAGTGGCATTTAAATCAACCAATATGAACAGTGAGGTTACGTCCAAGAACACCATTGTTTCATCTTCGATTTTTATGTCTCTTAACTCTCCATGATTTGTATTGCATCCTTGGATGACTAAGGTCCGCTAGTGAGATGGTTCACCCGCTCCAATAATTCTCTTGAAATTTTCTATGTGGTTGTTCCCGGTAGTGAGAAAATTTACTTTGTTCATAATTTTCCCAGTTTAGTTGTTCTAAAGACGGCGCCGCGTGCTGACTAGACCACTGGCTTTGTTGATGTATTCCGCTTTATCATGAATAACTATCATTCTTCTTTTTCTCAGCTGGCATAATAACGACGGGACAAACCGAAACTAACTCGAAAACAACCAATCACCTTAAAGTTATCAGATACGTTTTACAAACTAAATAAACACAGACAGAAGAGAGGGAATTTGCCCACTCAAGCCGCACTGGTGATGTCATCTCGATTGGTGATGACTCGTTTGCAATCCAATGGGTAAGCTCGGCGAATGGACAAACAAACAACATAAGGTGCTAGTCAGCCCTTTAATGAACGTACACTCCGATCAAGGAAATATTTTAGTAGTAGGAGTGTCCCTCAATGTAGAGCACCGTTTGAGATAATATCAGTCAGCATCTTTCTTTCTTGACCTTCAGCTTCCAATGTGGTTTAGTGAACATTCTTTGTTCAGAGTAAATTTTTTTGCGTGTGTGGCCCATCGCAAACCATGTGCTTAACAAACGGTATTAAATGAATTGTACCAAATTGCTGTAGCCCAAGCACCTTGCAGCCATAGTGGAAGAATGTCGAAATGATAATGATGTCTAGTTTTGACAACCTTTCGTTGTACAGCTTTGTTCAGCTCGAGCATAACACTGTGGCCAAAATGTGACCGGGCTGCAACAGTCGAAAAGTAAGGATTGGGTTCGAATCACGGATCTTGCGGTTGGTATTACTGTGTGTAATACTGTGAGTAAAACTCACATCTATCAGATGGCTTTGGTATCCGCCTGTTTTTGCTTTCTCCATCAACCTCAATTGGCAGATGGTTGTCCTCTTGTGCATGAAGACGTTGTGTTCTTTGTTACTGATGAGTCAGTCGCTTGATTAAAATTTGTTAACTAAACTCCTACAGCCTGATTCTTGCTGCTCTGAATCAGAGTGCCAACTTGGTCTCTATATTGGCTGATCAGAAATGTTCTAGACAAGCCGCTATCGAATTTTGAGTTGGTGAACAATTAAGTTCAACACGCTCTAACGATTAATTCTGCCGCGTCCGCAGGAGATTTATTTGACCAATCCAGTTTTACGATGCTGTAATGAATACATAAGACCGTTCATTATGTATTCTCCAATTTCATCCGGATTAAGGTCAACATCGAACACATGAGTGACGGAATAATGGTGATTAGTAGGTGGCGCAGATACCAGATGAACACTGTGGCTATGCTGGAATCCCACCGTAGGAAAAAAGACTTTCATTTGGCTCAGCCGCATGCTTTGAAATTCCCTATAATCAAACACCTTTTGAACGCCAAATCATCACAATTCGGCTCATGTGTGTGCGGCATTGCTCTGGTAAACCCTATACTGCTTTGATCTTATTATCAAAGAGCATTGCTGAGGCTCTGCATAACACTCAAAATTCATGGCTAAAGGGGTAAATTGTGGACCATGATTGACGATCTAATGCATGTTTTTTGTTAGTCAGAGGGTTGCAAAATAGTCCGGCATGTCGTTGATGATTGCTGTTTCAGAAAAACGGGAGAGCGCAACCTGATTCTCTGTCCTGGAATCGGGTAGACATATCAACGACTAGCCTTCACAAGCTTAATCAAAAAACGAAAATATTTGCTATTTCAGACACACCGCATTCCTTCATAGACTGTAGGAAGTTGTCACAAGTTTCTGTTACAACTCTCAATGACGCACGTTTCTTCACATAACCTTTCAGAGATTCTACTTCTTTCTGTTGGTGGATTTTATGGTGCAGACACATGGTTCAAGAATATATTTACCAATTTTATGGTTTAAAAACTGGAGTATATGAGGTCAGGCCAACAGAGTTTACTGTCCCGCGAAGTTTGTTCTCATTTATGCTTCATTTCATCTACTTGGTCATACATTTGCCCCTTTCCTTGTCGCGTTACGCTCAATGTAATCGATGACCTCTCATTAATTGCGAGAGATAGACACTTTCGCTGGCAGTGTTGCACGCTATGTCCAGAAATTTCCATTTGTTACCGTGCAGCGGTGACGCAGAATGCAAATTTATCGGCAAATGAAGTCGACTCATCAATATACACAGTGTCATTGCAATACTTATTGGAATTTACGTGATAAACAAACAAAGGCCTCGTGCTGTGCAAGCAGAACAATCTCCAGTTGTCTTGTCCCCCACTTAGTGAAGAGATCTTATTTGTGTCGGTATTCAGTGGAGCATTTCTCATACACGTGGACGGATTGGCTATGGTGTTTGTCACATGAATAGAAGTATACTTATTTCAAAAGAGGGAAAGGCCATTTTACCAGTTACGAACATGAAAAAGCTCAACTTTTGAGAAGAGAGGCTACTGACTGAAAGATCCCTTGGATAGGCCTGAGCAACCCGGAATTACATTGACTTTCTTGCTTCCTTTTAGTTGTACGGCACTCATGTATTGAAATTGCGATAAAAATACTCACTGAAATATACAAAAACGTCTCGGAAAACGGATGCAATCAAGACCTCCTAAAAGTACAATGTACAATATTTCCTAAAAATATATGTGCCCTTTTCAAAGCTGATCTAGACTATAGGATCCGATTTTGAAATGCTCCGAAAGTCTCCGAAGGGACCAACAACCCTGTTAACTAACCCGTTGGCTGTGCCAGTTACTCCCAGTTGGACAACTTCTGAATAATTGGCTCAATAATCAGTTTCACTGTTTCTAGGATCGAGAAAGCCATTTGGATGGATTCATAGATACTTCGACGGGTTTTTTGGACTTCAGTTAAAAGTTGCAACTACTTTTGAATGTAATTATCCGTTTCCTTTAAGAATACGGAACCCAGTTAGATTTTTACCTCTTTCGTTTTGCCCAATCCGAACTGTATTTCAAGACTGCTACAAAAGACCAGTGAGGTCGCCGGATAGAAATTTCACTGTCTCGATAGAAGTCTAACGAGGATGTGCCTCCTGACGTGTTTAAACCCGAGGAACTTTACATTCCCACTCCGATGTCATTCAGAGGATTTGTCGAGGTACCTTTTGAAATATCACCAATCACTATTGAACCCATCGGTAAGTGAATTTACAAAGCTATACATATTGTACACTAAAGCCTTGAACCGATAACACGCCTCGTGTATTCAGACTATGGCATTCTATCCTCACGAACTATCAGAAGCCACGTCAGTTTCCAAGAAATTGAAAGCTGTTATCTGTTCTATATAAATTTAACTTACAAAACAAATTATCTCGAAGGTATGACGTGCCTATGAATGTTGTTCTCAACATATCCAAGGAACTTAAGAGAAGACACTTCCTTTATTATCTGGTGCCTTATTCAACCACCCGTTTCGACTGACCGTCTTTCTTGATTTCCAGTGGATTGGAAGAGCTAATCCCATCAGGCTAGTCGATTGCTCTACTTGACGCAATGAAACCAGAATGTGAAATGTAAGAGATTGAATGGCGCACGCTTCGAGTGATTCGAGCAAGTGTGCTGGACAATTTAGCTTGTAAACGTGTCAAAAATCGATCATTTATTTGGGCCAATAAGCTCACCGACTGCTCCGTATTCCCGTCTTGATCAAGTTCGGCCTGCTGCAGCAAATTGGTCTGTAGTTCAATCCATTCACTACATAAATAAAAAAAACGTTATTGAGTTAGCGTCCAACGTTTGTATTTGAAATACATTTAACTAATTTCTTCACAATACAATTTCCGCTTGTTATAATTGTGTATTTATAGGAACCGCAATCTTAGTGAAACGTTTACTTTTGTCGTTTAATTGATAACGTGGTAAGAGAAATTTTTGCAGTCAGCCCTTCTCGCGTAATAAAAGGCCTGTTTAATGAATGAACTGGTCTCCTTTCAAAGCTGTTTGTCCATGTGCGCGAAGAAAAAACTTATCACGCGATCTGAAGTTTTCTAGTATCAGATTTCGGTGTTACGCGTAGTGCAGAAGGGTTGTATTTCATCTGGTCCTGGCCTGACTGCATCTATCAGCAAGTGGTTCATCACGGTTCATAAGGGGTTCTACGCCGGACCCTATCATGACTACTTGGTTTCATGTACTCGTTCTATGCGCACTGACCATTTGTAGGTTTTCATCAGTTCGCCAAATGTGATCGATTGTAATTATTTGTGACCTAAAAGACATTTTGGAACTCTTTTATGTGGACAAGCCTCGCGTAAAATTATAAAAAAACTTCGATCATATGAACCGCATTTAGTGAAGCTGTTCTTCGGTTTTGCTAAGTGATTCACGGCAAAAGAGAATCACACACGGATATTAATTCATTGAAAATACCAACGGTTTCTAGGTAGACCATTTTCATAACAAGGTTTGGGTACTACTGAACTTGAAATTACAACCAGGAGGTTTGATTCACGTGTAGCACTGCTATTCACCTGGTTTATAAAAAGCAGTTTAAAGCAAATTAGTACTGTGTAGCTGACACATATTTGAGTCTTCAGAGAAGGGTTTCCGAAAGAAAGAGGCTTGACAAATTGAAGATTTTCGGCTTTGGAACATTGCTTTTGGGGCATATCTAGACTCTGCCAGAAATGTATCCCTGTCTAAATTTTTGTCATCTTTATCATCATCATATTTTTTAACACTACTTAGTGTTGATTGCAGACGCAGAATACTTTGGGGAGGTGTACAACTTGGCGAGCGATAATTTTTCATCCACCTGTATTCATGAAACAAAATGGTGCCAAGGTTGAACTAAGTCAGCGGTGTGATTTACACAGAAGACACATCACTAAACCTCCATGTTCAAAACACTGCTCTCACCGGACCATTCAGAAGCAACAAATATAAAAATCAGAATATTTTTATTATTGGGAGAATGGTTTACGGATCCACGGAGAAATACCGATTAAAAAAATGCATTGTGAATATGTCCTTTTAGGTCAAAGATAGCATCCTGTCGCCCCAGAAGCTCTTGTTTTTCGAACAGGGTTCGATTCTGTATGACTAAAGCAGTAATTTTGGGTATAACATCCCAGTGCTCACGCCGATTTCCACCCGTAATTATTGATACAATTGACGCTTTACCCAATCCTGGAAGGCCATCTTCAACTTTCATAACGATAAAGCGTCCAATAACGGCACACTTTCGCTACCAAACAATAAGTGACGTGCGCAAACTGTGGCTCGATGCCACCAAAGTGTATCATCAAGACAACCACGACTTTGATTTCTGTTCCCATTGTTGGAAATAGTCAGATCCAAAACATAAGTAACAAAAAACCTATAAGGTACCGGTAGATAGGAAATCGTTGATGGTCCTCACTGCTGAAGGAATGCTACTGGAGCATTTCTTCACACACCTGGTCTAAACAGTGTCCGATTGTAAGATGTCCTACTTATGTTTACAATTTGGACTGAGATTCTCTCACTAATCGGACAAGTTCGCAGAGGCTTTGTTCATAGAATTCAATGTAGATTAGCTGTGCGTAAACATGGTTACCGTTTTAGGACGGTAGGTTTAGCAGAGCTCCATTGGCTGCCTCAGAGTGAGAATTTGGTCAACGCACTTTTGTGTACTTCGAAAGCAAACTCATTCTTTGTGGCTAAAAGTTAGCGTTGGAAACTTGTTATGTGGTATTATGGTTATGTATGCTCATTATATGGCCAATCAGATCACGGGTTTGTTTGAGGTACAGAACGATCGATATCACTGCACATGCATTCCACCCACCTAATTGATGCCCATGTGACATTAATCGGTGCGCTGTATCACGAGTTCAGAATTACTTTGATGAGCAGAGCTGTATGATAGATTATGCGGATGACATTGCTACCGGTAGTAAAATCTTACACTACTATAAGCTTACCTATTCAAAGTGGGCACTACATTTAAATCTGCTGATATGTATCAAGATTGTGTTCGGACGGAAGCAGAGTAAACATCTTGAAAACGGTTCTCCCAGTGTTCTCACTACTTCAAGTCAGATATATTGATATTCTGTTCTCATCTAACCTGAAGTATCACATACACGGTAATAGAAGCCTTCCTGAAAACTGTCAGTATTGTTTTCGCACAATGATTCTTTTTTTCCGAAATGTTAGACTTCCAACGACCCAAACGATCAGCCCTTCGCTGTTTTCAATAATGCCGATAAAGGGATTAGTTTAACAGGAAACCGTACCTTCGGTTTCATTTTATATCGGGTTTATCCCCTAGTAGATATCTTATTGGATAGACATTTACAAACATTCGGTGTTATTTTGGTTTGGTATTCATATGTGCGTCTTTGATATTCAGCTGCCATCTAATGCTAATTTGTTTATCAACAGCTTCGGACCACTGCCATACTAACACAAACGGTTTGCACAGAGCCGGTCGGGTAACTTTAAGTGACCGTATGAGTCATATTAAAGTTTGAAGGCATGGGATTGACTAACAAGTACCTCTGTATCCAAAAGTAAACCACTTTCCCAGGTAACTTGAGAACGATAATGAGTAAAGCAAAAATTTTCTTCTTTTCTTTTGCTAAGTAGCTTATGTAGGTTCAACTTATTCCTCTCGTGGTATTTACTAGCCTTATTTGTCGTTCCTCGGTCCCACTAGCAGCTAGCATCTGAGATGCAGATCTTACCTTCATTTAATTTCAAAAAGATTGACAGATTTCACCGGTATTTATGGTCTTTTATGAGGCTTTCGTTAACAGAGCAACAAGTATTATCAAACTTTTGACGTTCGTTCGTTCAGTTACGAGGTGGAGGACTGAAAGCCGGTGCTTTCTGGGATTTTATGAATTATGCAACTAAAAGTACACAATAAATAAAACGCTGCATTGATTACGGTACTCATACATTCCAAGAAAGCTTCACAAAATTTCGGTGGATAGAGAATTTTTCTCCAAAAGAAAAATCGGCCCATAAAACAAGTCAAGGGGAAGATTCTCCGGGATTTACACACCTCAAGTGCGAATTCTTTGTAGTAGTAGCAGTAGAGCTCAACTGACCTTAACATTTTATGATAAACAGGTTGGTCAGCATGAAAGTATGTATAGCTTACCCCTGCTGGATTAAACGGAGACAGCCGAGCTCTACTTCTTTAAAACAACCAGTGAAACGATAACTGACATGCAATTAATGTGTGAAAGCAATTCACGCCCTTTGTTTAACCCACAACATAAGAGCAACATGGTGTCTGGTCTGTGAAGGTTTCATCTGTCCCAATGGACCATGAGTGCCCTCTTACAAATAAGACTAGAGCAATCAAAATATTGCAAATTCCTACGTTATTAGCCACGGTGGTTTTTGCTTCTAAGTTGTGAGCACATAAGACGCCAGGAAGCAGCAAAATACAGGCTTAATTATCTTAGGAGATCTGGTGCAATTAGCCTAATGTGTCTCTTAGTTTGGTCAGTGTGAATATTCACACAGTACGCCGTATATTACAAATTCCCTTTTTTAAAGGAGAGGAATTAAATACATTTCAAGTGGTCCTCTCTAAAGTTAGTTTCCGTGCAGGAAATTTCCGCGTAACCTTGAGATGATTTAGGAACAAACATTCAACAGCCATATCAGGTTCCGAATTTGCCTCGAGTTTTGCCTTCAAAATGTGATGTATCATAGCAAGAATCCCTCAACAATGTCTTATAAAAGCGGAAAACCGTACGAGGAAATAGAAACCAGGGATGTCCAATGATTCAGATATTGTAGCACTCACGTTAATCCTTCCTTGAGTTTAGCAAACAGATGTCTCGTACGTCGAACCCTGGGAGAGGTAGGGATCACTGGTAGTTTACGAGAATTAGGGATTCCAGTGGCAATGTGGTTTGGTATTTCAGAGTTCACCACCGTAACCTTGAACACCGAATATCCACTATTGTTCATCCGTACATCTTCCCGTACCCTTGGTAGGTCGGTAGACATGCGTCTATAAACAACTTTTTCGTTTGCCATCTTGTGGATTGGGACTTCTCGCTCCAGTCGGTTTACCGCACTTTCATTTTGACAGACCTCCAAGGCTTGTGGCATGGAAACACTTAGGATAGTCGCCAAGGGATGGCTATTAGAATAGTTCTGGCCACCAGAATCTCGATGAGCCTTCGGATGCGGACGTAAATTGTGTCCTTCTCCAGGTTTTTCGTAGTATTCCGAACGACGATAATAGAAACTTGGTCGAGATCGTTTTTCTTCGTTTCGAAAGTTATCTCGACGCTCCTGAAAAATAATGAAAAAACAATGAAGAATAGGATGGCTCCTAATAAACTGCCGTTTATTCGAAGTGAAATAAGTCAGGCAATCTCATAATGCCTCACTATCCGCTAAAATGGTGCTCACAGGCCTGCGTGCACAGTTGCATCGAAGAGGATCCCAATCTAGTCTTTTCGTTGGATACACTGCTTTGTAGTATACAGTAACCCCACCGCACACCCATAGGAGAGGCCGAAAAGACGGAAGCAACAGTGGAGTCCCTTGTAAGAAGAGATTATCTTCTGGAATAACATACGCGACCCAATATCAATGTATGGGACTGTGAAAAAAATTGCTCAGTACACTGTAAAGGGTTTCAGACATTTTTTCCCATCCTGGATTTGCTTATTGCTGTTTCCACATAATCCCAGCCATTAGTCTTAATTATTATTGTTTCATGGCAAGCTACTTCAGCTGATAGATGGCATGACTGATGTCTGAAAACATTATTAGCAGTTTCGCTTCTCGTTATCTTTTTTATCTCAACAAATCATTTCATAAGCAAGCACAAAACTGGATCTAAAACCGTTTTCAAATTGAATGATTTCAAATATATTCCTTCAAGTAGGGGATCTGAATGAGTTTTAAGTGGGCTGCCATCGCGGGCTGGATAGTTTTAAACGTAAGTCTGAATTATCTCCCCAGAAAACGTTCATCCGTTAGAGTTCAAGCAAACCATTGCTGTGAAATCGACTTTAATTAGAACATTGTTTTCTTGTGTTCCGTCTACAAATATTCGTCTATCTTAGTAAAAATTAACTGATCCCGTTGCGTCTACAATAAAACGGCACGTAAACCGCTGCATGACAGTTAACCAGGATTGTCTGGACAGTGACAGTCAATCGGGACATGTGCCAGGCACACCAAACCACCTTCAATCAAAGGAAGCGTTATTTTCGCTTTGAACTCTTGGCGCCGGAAATATTGCAAAAACCGACCCATTCAGTGCAACTCAGAACAAAATCGGCTAAAGCAAAATTGCCGCCTGCGAGGTCTTCGAACATATGGTTTGTTCTTCTTAATTGTGGTTGCAACTCCATCACGCTCACCCATCCTGCTGGTGAGCTTGAGGTCAAGTCACAGCCGGACCTTGGTGCAGTTTTGCCCGTCGTTGTAGATCTGCCTCAGGTTTGGTAGGATACTAGAACATTTCAGTTAATGACATCACATTTCGACGCGCTTGTGGAATGTACTTAGCTAAAACCTGTCAGGAGGTTCGCATACCTTGCTTTGATTGTTCTTCTAATGTCATATTGCTCTCTTGCAATAAATTTACACCTTGCTCTACTTCTGTTCATTCTTCAACAAGGCTTTCTTTCCTAATTGCTTCGTGTCAGTCAAGCATTGGCTTGTGCTGGTGCGCTGTGATCTGGCCTTATCAAAACCAGTAAACGGCATATAGATAGTCAAATATAACCGATGGTCTCGGTACTTCCGATGTCTTTATTGAGGGATAAGAAACTAGCTATTGAAAGGTGTCATAGAAGTTTAGATTTGGTTTCTTAAAGCTACCGGGTTTTGATCAGCTCAGAAACTGGCTTTGGTTTGAATCCCAGACCGATATCATCAAGTTGCCATCTGAAACACTTGGCTTTGTGGCGATTCTGGGATGTGTGGTCTTCAGTTGAGAATGCAATCTGGAAACTAACTACTCAGCTGTTGAGGGTTGAAATTTCGACAGCAACGTACTGCTGAATACTATTTGTTGAGTGGCTTCTGCCGAGGTGAAGTCTCTTTAAGATGGGATAAAGGTAGGTTTATTAAGTATCTTGCTGCATCATGGCAGAACAAGATGGCGCTCCGTAACATAGGTTCCAGCGGTCGCCTGAAGCATTGGATGAAAATGGTTTAGCTTGCTATAAGGTCCATGAAATCGCGGATCGTGTGACTTGACAGGATCAACGAAGGTCTTCATTAAAATAGCCTAACAGAGCAAATTCTGGAATATAACTTTAAGTTTTCGCATGTATGTGTGATGCACTTTTATCTGCATACCCACGGTAAACATCCCATATAAATTTTTTGCAAGTGGTCCACACGAGAAGCCTTGGGAAAACATGCAGATTTCGTCCACTAACAAACGAGATAATCTTGAAGTGTGAAGAAGTTCAGTTTATGTACTTTGTGACGGAGTGATTGCTTCAGGGTACCATATTCTTTAGTAGCCTGACTCGTTCTTATAAAGGAGAACGTGAAAACAGACTGGAAAATATTGAAAGTTCAAATGGACATTAACCGCGGTATCTACGGAGCGCATTATAACTAAAATGCTTATCTCAAACGATGCTCCATGAAACTCATTTGTCTACACGAAAAGAGGATGCTTCATATCAAAATAAGACAGTTTTTTAATTCAAAAATTTCCTTCAAATCCTAACAGACGTTTTATGACTTGGTTCCTACAAAGAACAGTAAGTCGACAGCAATTGATCAAACTCTCATCAAATAAACACACTCCGTGACCTCATTGAAGAGATACTATTTTCTGTTAGCATTGCAATCACGCCCCCGAAATGTATATTTCGATATGTTAAAAGGAGTTTATATGAGCAAACACAAGTAGTGGATAAGTTGGTAGAAAGAAAATCACGAGAAAAGCGATGGGCGCAAAACAGGCACAAGTATGAATATAATAAAGCAAACTACTATCACGAGTGTGATGACAATTTTTCCGTCATCGTTTAAATCAGTCGCTCATATACAGAGCACAGATGAATTTGAATTTCCCATTCGTTCTCTTTCTCTTCATCCACTGAATGTTTTTTCCCAGAAATTTACCACCTATGACATGGTTCTTCTCGCGAGATCAAGTTTCTATAACACGCCAGGTGTTTTATTTAATGAGTTAGGGTCTGGAACGTTTACTGATCATGACGCGAACCAAATAAATGTAGTGACACCATCCTCATTCATCGAACAGGAGACATGAGTTCAAGCGTAGACGCCGTCAAGCTCAATTTCGGATGTCCCATACGTCTTATTTCTGAAAATGGTGATAGTAGGATAAACACTAAATCAGCATCTGCAACCAATGCGCTACCAGATACCCTGATTACGTCACTGAAACTCGAGAAACCTGAGGAAACTGGTCAATTTTGCACATACTGTAGTGGATACAGGTAATTCGATATTTCTAAACTTGTTCTTTTTGCTGAACAAAAACAGCAATGAGCAGCAGTTTCTATGCTAAATATAGTTAATCAGATACGTAGATGTATCATTGATGTCATTCGTTAAAACTGAATAATCTGCCCATACTATACGATGCAGCTGAACTACGTAGATTTGTTGAGTTTTTCAAAGGTCTGCCAAGGTTCATAAACTTCACTTGCTCAACTAGCCACTGATCTGAGTTATCCTTGAATTCTACCGCAAAAATCCTGTACACCGGGTTGACTTGATTATTCGATTCCATTTGCTTCATATCGATCGGAAACAACCGAGTTGGCACCGATAATGAGCACGCAGAGTTGTTCGATGATCGTTACACAAAAGATGTTACATGTGATTGACGTAATCATTTCGGCTGATTACACTAAAAAACACATTCAACTATTACTCCTACATGTAGGATGCATCCGTTTTCATCGCTTTTTTTCGGTAATTGTTAATCCAATATACTTTTACATTCAAGAAAATAGCCGCTCTTTTTGGTGTAAAATTTTGATATGCGACAAGCATTGTTAAAAAAGAGTATGTTTTACCTATTCGGTAGCTTTGTGGACCGTTTAGTTCCTGACCTACACTGCCAGTTGGTACGGCTGGTACGTTTAACATCTTGTCAGTCTTGAAAAAGTGAAAAATGAGGAATATTATATTGGGATTTGTGCTTCATGATCTCACGATCAACAAGGTTTATCCTGCATAACTGCCATTTTGAAACCAACATGAAGAATTGAACTGGAATGCAATATAATTCTGTGCTTTTTGGATTAATTCTACTGAATCGCAAACCTCCTGAAGAAGCGAGCCAATCAGTTTGGTTCCAATCCACCTAGCTGCACAAGACATGTTGATTCTCAGTGAAAATACCACAGAAAGACGAGGGGTCAGTTTACTCACTTTGTGTATTGAGTATATCTAGAATCAGCAAGAAACTGATTTACTCTATAGTCCAGAAAATGCATCAGATTGGCTAATGTGAAAACTCATCAGTTCTCATCTTTCCTTTCTTCAACTTAGTAGTGCTGCTTGAACAGGACGTGATCAAATTTCGCATTCCGAGCGTCAATGAACCGGAAACCGTTCGATTCATCAGTTTGATCTGCCAAAAGTACGCTTATAGCTAGAGCTCAAGCTTTCAAAAAAGGTGGATGACTGAATGTAAAAATATCCAGAACTATTATGCTAGCCTTTCGTCACACAGAATTTAATAAAAATCATTTCGCTTTTATCGAATCACAATGATTCAGCTATATGAAGACAGGAAACGTTTGCAGTCTAGGTTACCAACGTATGATCATATCCGCTTTTGCGAGAAAAAAACCTGTTTCCCCATCTCAAAGTCCATCAACTTTGGCTATTCTCTGTTTGCAGACATCGCTCACCTAAATTTTAGGAGTCAGTTCTTCAAGAACAAAAGATCACGTTAGCAGCGGTATTAATAACGATCATGCTTTATTGCCATACCACAAGTAAGAGGAAATAAGACCCGTTGCGAAAAAGGAGGGGCACAAAGTTCAAAGCCTGAATACTACCGAAGAAAGGCCACATGTTAGATATTCGTCCCAGGGTTGTTCAAAATCTTGGCCATGTGCATATATCTACAAACACTGTTGTACAATTTAAAGCACGCTAGAGTACTAATGGAACAAGCCGGGTTAGCAACTAGTCATTTTTGGAAAATGGGTGAAGAAAACTGCCTGGTGAGGCCAAAGTAGAATAAGTTGAAGAAATATAAATACAGAAATGTGCTGGAAATCAGTGCAATATTGTTTGAGGGTGGCTCTTCAGGCATGAAAGTTAGT